TTGGACATTACCAAAGGAAAAAAATATCTGATTCAAATGCAGAAAGTGAAAAAACAGAAAATGAGGGGAATGGAAGGGAGTCGATAGAATCAAGAATTCTGGTGAGCTTAGGACTGAATGAGGAAAGGAAACTGGCTGGGAATTGGAATAAGTGCTTGACACTGGCTGGCCCAGAAAAGCAGGGAAGGGAACCAGGTTTGTAGTTTTTAACTTGGGGGTAGAAGGGAAGGAGAAGAGGAAGAAAGTCCTGAGGAGGACATGGAAAACAAGGAGCTGGAGGGCAAAAGAAGAACGGGAGCAGGCTGAGAAAAGACACTGAGATTAGAGAACTGTATCTTTAAGAAGCATTTGCAAAAGTTGGTTAGACATCGTGTTGTGCAGCACCTCATGCAATACTGGACACTGAGTGAAACCTCAGTCCCTCCAGGTTCTTCCAATAAATGAGGTGTAACTCAAACTAATATTCCACTTTCTGAGATCTAATTCATTTATCTCGTTGGTTCCAGAATTCTTCAGCCTTCCTTCTCTAGAGATGACTGAAGCAGACTTCTCTGTCACTGTATAATCTTTGCAACACGTTTACTGTATGTCTCTCTCTGCTCAAGTCAACAAGCAGCTGACCTTACTCTACACATCCATTTACTTTCTGGGGTTCCATAACACGGTAATAAAAGGGAATGGCAGGAAATGAAAGTGGGAACCTGGTCTCGGTCTTCATCATGGCTAACTGGAGGTTGGCTCAGTGTAACTGGAGGGAGGCAGACCGACACAGAATACCAGACTGACATTGAATTTGGAGGCTGGATGAAGAGTCAGATGCAGAAAACTAACACTGGGCAAAGTGCTGGAACTGTGTGTAAAGGAGATACCACTCCTTAGAAGGGTCTGGGACTTGGGACAATATGCATACGTGGCTGGAAAGATGGAGCCTGGGATTCAGGATGGAAATAGGAAGGCAAGGAAAATGAGAATGGGATAAACAGCTGGGACTGGGACAGAATGAGTGCAGGCCAGGTTGGAGGGGATGAGACGAATTGGGAAACATGAAAAAAAGTGAGCAGAATGTTTTTTTCTATGATCAGAGTGCAACCCCCTTCAGATCCTGGAGTAAAACACACAAATCCCTGAGCTGGGAATACTGAAAGAGTTTAGGACTGTGTGGCAAAAATAACCTATGATCAGCTACTTAAAGGCGATATCATAATGGATCTGCAAAATGGAGCTAAACTAATTAATTTAGGCTGCTCTTTATTCTAGCATTTCCTAACTTTGAAGTGCTTGACCTTGCAACATTAATAATGCTGTTTAAAGTAGTGTAGAGGCTACACGTACACATTCTAAATGTACAAATAGTCTCAGTCTCAAATGGGCGTTCTCTATTTGTTTCATAATGAAATTCAATTATCCTTTGATTTGAAATACGGATTGGGTTTATATGAGTCCTCCTTTCCATTTTTTCCCTCTTTTATACAATTTACTAATTGTAAAAGTGCACCATAATGTAGTTTGCCGGCCGTAATTATGATTTCTAGAATAGTCCCAGGTGTCTGCACATTAATTATGACTTATTATTAATATATGCATTAACTGATCATTCATTTTATAATTACTTTGCAAGGATCTAGCCCATCAGTGCTAGCTTTGTACAAAAACACACAAAGAACAGAGATCTATTTGAAAGACTTTCAGTGTAAGTTGTTGATCCTGGAAAGATAAGTGAGCCTTACTTTGTCAGGTACTATGACTGTTTCAAGAAGTCAAGCATGCATTTACATTTCTGTAAGAACAAAAATATTCTGTAACATTTGCTGCTGTGGGTAGCACCATGAGAAAGTGAGTGAATCTAGGATTCAAGCTTTGCCAGCTCTGAATTTCAAAATTTTTGAGTTAGCATCCTCCTGAATAATAAAATAATTTTACTGTGTATTTTGAGACTTTTTTACAAGCTGTGTCTTATTCACTAGCATTTCTTCATGATCATGCAAAGTAGACTCAAAAAGTTATTTGATTCTAAGAGCTAGGAATTTAAGCGAAAGAAAGTATTTTAAGACTTGTGACGAAGCCAGACGAAGTGGCAAGATTGCAGATGCTGTAACTGGTTCTATGTGGCCAAATCTGATTTCAAGTTCTGAGTTATTTGATGAATACTCCTCATCATATGAAGCATTCAGCATTTGTTTGTTTTTGCTTTTAAACACAGTCTTTCTTTGTATGATCACTTCTTACACAGTCATTTCATCCATGCAGTGTACTACATGAGCACTTTTAAATGCAAAAAAACTTTGCGTTACAATCTTTCCTTATTTTTATCCCTTTTAAATGTCTCTACTTTTATAAAACTCTTAATTTCTCTGATCTTGCTGTATGACTTATTGCTTTTTGAGGTAATGGCTAAAAAAGGAGAAACTCGTATTCTAGCTTAATCCTCTGATCTTTGGGAAGGTCCGTTTTCTCTGTTCTTTCAACTTGTTATACCGTTTTACAGCATGGACCACATTATTAGAGGTTAACAAAAACGTATCG